TTTATAACTAAAAAACATAAAAATTTAGATTTATTACACAAAAATAAATTTATTAGATTTAGCCAGTGATTTGCTTTTAAAAATAATTTTGAGTTAAAAAGTATTGAAAAACAATTTAATTAATTATAAAAATAATATTGTGAGATGGGATGAGAGAGGGGGTGGGAGGAGTAGACTAATAAAGTAAAGTGGAAACCATTTTCGATACAATCCAGTACATCATGTATGTTATCATCGAATACCATAAGAATAGGAATATTCTGTAGCCATAAATAATTCTACATAAAAACAACCAGAATTACAAATAAATATAATATGGATCTACTAGTAGGGAAAGGTAGATAAAAGTAATACATACTTAGTTAGTCTACGTTTAGCTTTGGGTATATTGTCGTCGTCTTCCTTAAGCAGATACCGGCGCCCGCCATACCATGAATTCTTTGTCATGAGATTCCAGTCCACTATCGAGACGTCAAACTTAAAGTGCTGTGAATCGTATGGCGAGTGCCGCCGTAGGATTGCCATAAGGGAACGGGTGTTCAGCGAGTGAAAGGTCCACTCCTTCATCCAGAAGTAGGATAACATCTCAAAGCCGTTGTGCATCCGTTGGGTCACAGAAACCATACTTTATTATGGATTTGATAAATAAAATTAATTTTTATAATTTCGAAATATACTTAAAATATAAATATAACAATAAATGAATGCTTTCTAGATGTTTAAAAAATGAAAAATGTCTTTTATTTTCACTCGTCTCTTAAATATAATTTTATTTTATTAGTATAACATATTTTGTATCTGTATTGTTGCTATTTTCTAGTTTCTATTGTTTTAATTATATCAATATTAACTTGTAGTTTAATATGATATTAACTTCTTATTGACTAGTCAACGACTAAATAAAAAATTAAATTACTTTATTAACTTTATAACTGTTTGTGTTAACTTTATATGTTAACTAAATTTTAAGAATTAATTTACAAATATTAACTTACACTAATTCAAAGATTAAAATTATTACTGATTCAAAAATAGTGAAATTTTGATATAACCTAATAACTTAAAGCTACGCTATATTTAATTTTGCAAAACTATTAATTAATGAAAAGTCATAAATACATGGGTTTATAGCCGAACAGCCATATGATTGCGTCGACAAAGTAGGCAAACATGAGATGCGATATAAGTATTGTCATCCATAGCCGTAAACGGGAGGGCCGGGTGTGTGGGACACCGGCGTGAGGTCTGACCACTTTGATGGAAGGGCTGTCCTGTTGGGCCAACACGAAGGACTCGACCACATCGACCAGTGGAGGCGTATTGTGCGGTTCGGACGACAAGTGGTATATCTGTACGTCTGGGGGTCGGGCGGTGGCCATATGCCAGGCCGAGGTGATCAGGGCGTTACAGGTCATGTCGACCGGTATGAATGAAACACGTTTGTCGGCATCATAGTCGGCAATTCGCATAATCCCCAGTGAACCTGGTCAAATAAGGTGATTAGATGTTTTCAGTTTAAATAGGTATTATTAAAATATTATTAAAGTCCCTTGGTTACTTATCTAAATATAAATATCTAAAAATTATATCTGTTTAATGTACATTATATACAGTTGCCTGCACATATAAGTTAAATTGTTTCTTTGGACAGTAATAGGCTATTACTAATAGCTATTCACTAAAAGCCCACAAATTTTTATATTTAAACAAAAATAAGTTTAAACTGTAACAAAATAATTCAACTTAATATATCAAACACATATGAATATAGGAAATGTACATTTCGGCAGCTACTTAACTTCCTAAATATTTTCACATTGTATACATTAATTTATGCAATAAACAAGTAACATTTATGTAGGCCTACCCAACAGTGCAATACCGGTGGCGCCGTTAAAGTTGTCGATCCAGCCGGCGATGGGCTCCTCATATGTGGCCAATACGATGGACGGCCGCACTATAGCCACCGGCAGTCCCACCGGTTTGTCCTTCAGTACGATATGTTCGGCCAATGCTTTGGCAAATGTGTAGCAATTGGGTCGACCCTCCAGCAGAGGTTCCGTATAACTGTAAGGTTTGTATCAATATATGAATTATTTTTAATTAAAGAATAACTCTACTATTGAATTAATATAATTGAAATTTGTTCATAGTCAATTAAAATAATATTAGTATTATGTATTTACAAGTTGGCAAAGTGAGGATTAATGTTCATGTAATGTTCAGGTATGATATAACTCCCTTAATCTTATTAAAATTTATTTTTCAATTAAATATATAAATATAAATACTGTGCCTACTGTAGTGTAATGCAAGTATATGAGATATAAATTTTTTATTTACGTTTAAAATGCAATCTAAAAGGTTAAGTACAATATTCAAATATTATACTTTATATTAATACAGTATTATTTTTAATTCAAATATTCACGTTAAATCATATAAGAAAGCAACACCTCATTATAAGGATAATCAATTATAATAAATGGCTATTGAATATAAAAAAATTTAAAATATAAAAAATATTGCAAATATACTTGCTAAGTTGAGTTAAATGACTACTATACAAATATATACAATGAACACAATTGTCATGTCTAACCATAACAATGTTGACAATTTATGAAATATGTCTCACTTCTGGAGTTGCGTGTCATTCATGGTCTCGACGGCGTGTATGACCTCTTCGGGGGTGACTTTCATGGGATATATCCTCTCCTCTAAGTCGGACCGTTGACAGAAGGCATAGGCAGTGGACACGTGAACGAGTGCTTCCAAGCGCCGGCACTGTCGGCACAATTGCATCACGTATTTCGTGCCAATCAGGTTGTGGGTGACGGCGTCCCGGATCGTCTCATTGAACTTGACATCCCCGGCCACGTGGAAGATCACCGACACGTCGCGCACCAATAGTTTGAGGTCCGATTCCTTAGCAATTTTATCAAAGTATTTAATTGACAGGATAATTTGTTTATATTATCATGCTCATTTTTTGTCTTTTAGTGGTATCTAGTTATTAATTTAGTGTTAATTTTTATTGAATTTATGCAAATTGTTAAGTTGTTTCTAATATGAGCATGATACTTAATCTATAAAAATTCATTTGTTAAATGTTCTTAAAATATTCAATAATAATATTTTTGTAACTAAACTATTATTTATTTTAGTTTAATCTATATTTATAATTTAAATGTTAGATGATTTGTTGATCGCCAAATAATTTTAATTTAATAAAATAAAATTATAAATTATTTATTAAGTCCTTAAATATATTAATACTATTTAAGATAAATTATAATTCATCTATATAAATCCAACTATAAATCTATAATTTGATATATTTTACACTATATTAAAAAACAGACAATAATGAACATTAAGCAAACACTTTCAAGATTATAAAAACTTAACACCAATTAAACAAAAATTAATTTACTTTAACTAAACATTCTACAATAGTGTCAGGGAAATCCCTATTAACTACAATATACAATAAAAATATTTAAACACCATAATAAATTATAATAAATATATAACATCTATATACAGTACAATACAGTAAATAAAAAAGTGCCCAAATTTTACTGTACGTACTTAACATGCACTATCAGGATTTGTAAACTATTAGCTAATAAGTAAGGCTTCTGGGTAAAAACTAAACTTATTAAATTTTCAAATAATTTTTAATGTACTTTAAAATAATATTCATAGATTTAATTAATTGTTTAATTCGTTGGATAAATATAAATATAATTGCTTAATTGTTTGTTAAGACTGAGCGCACATTTAGTTTAAATATAATGGATATTTAAATTGTTGAAACAATTAATGGTTTATTTTATAGTGAATACAAAACAAAATTAAAATCATTTATAGAGTAATATAAATAATTATAATAAAATAACCAAACTAAATCATTAATTATTACTTTTAATTTAATATAATATATAGTATAATATAATAGTATGGTATATATTATATTATACTAATATTTTTGCAGATTATATCATACCTTAAGTCCGATGCCATCGACTGATAGGTCGCCATCGATGGCAACCAACTTGTGGCGGACTTTGTGGACGTCTAGTGAAAAACTAAATAACTTTGACTGCAGTAGTGTTTCCAGCCGTTCCTCAGCCGACTGTCCCTTTTTCTTGCGGATTAGTATATAAATGGTGTCCAATCCCGTACAGAATCGGAGCAACTTTTCCACTAAAACCTAAAATATTAATCATAACTTATTACAGTATAATAACTTATTATAATTCATATTAAAATTATTTAATGTTAATTAGTTTAACAAATAATTGTAATTAAATATTAAGTTTTGAAAATTATTGTAACTTTTGTTTATTCGTCAATTAAGTTCAGTAATTATGACTAGTGTGTAATATATGTTATAATAAACAAATTGTGATGTTTCTATTTGAATGTTAAATTAAATTAAATATTTAAAAGATATTACATTAAATCAAAATATTAAGGCTTTTGTTAATTTAAATAAAATGTGATTTAAAATTGAAATAAAATTTTTAAAAATTGAGGATAACTATGCGATAGGTAAGTGATAGGATTAGTTTATATGACACACAATATGACAGATTAAATATGATAACAGTTTAGTAGCTTAAGGATAATCATTGGGTGCCCTAAACAGTGAACTTCTGTGACCTAATATTATATGGTATCGTAAATATTAAACCGTATTTCTAGTATATCTCTACATTTAATTGTGCAACAAATATTGAGTTAAATAGTTTTACGAGTAATTAGTTTTGCGATAAAAAGTCAAATCAAATAATTAGTGTCAAACAAGACTAAAAAATTCACTGTCAATGAGATGCAAAAGTTCATAAAAACATATATTACAAGCATTTTCGTTAATTATTTCAAATATTTAAGACAATATAAATTATGTTTAAAAATAGTTTAGACGTAATAGTGCATAATTATTACTATGTAAATCAATAATTTTAACATAGTCGGTAATAAATACTAAATCATCTTAATGTTATTTATAAATATTATTAAAACAACAAATTAATTTTACATGCTAAATACTTTTAAATATAAATTAAACTTTGATAGTTGTTTTAAAAATAGTTAGAATTAATGTAATATAATGAATTTGAAATATGATATTATATATTTTATGTGGTTATGAATTAAAACAAAGGAGTTGACTATAAAACATACCTTTCCAATGAAACCCGTGGCCCCAGTAATAAACACCGACTTTCCGGTGAAATATTCACGTATTACAGATTTATCAGTCATTATTATAATTGCATATATCAATCAGTTATTAAATTAAATTTACTAAATACTAATTAGCGTTTTTATTATTATTTACACATTTATTATAGAAGTTTTATTCAAACAAATTTTTTTGTCAAATAATAATGAACATATTGTCGACAATCTTATTATATAAAATAATTTAAATTTTTATTATCATTTATTATTATATGATTGGTTCAATGTTTTAGTTATTTGTCAATAAAGTTAAAACAAATAATAAGACTTTTCATAAAACAATAATTAGTTTTAAATTTAGCGAGAAATATATGAAAACTTTTATTATTTCTATTTATGACCACAAACTTAACCACATTTTCATACAAATGAATTAAAAATAAAATAATTTCACTTAATATAAACTTTATATAATAGTTAATACATATGAGGGTAGAGCACCGGTATCTCACACGCACGCACTGATCGGTCTATTAGTTATCAAACACTGAAAAAGTTATTTTTATTGTCACTTTTAAAAATATTTAACACCTTTTCATTAATTAAAAATTAATATTAACTTTTGAATTTATAATTATTAATTAATAACATTATTTAATATCAACGCCCATAGAGTTCACAATAAATATAATAGCAATTATAAATGTATTTAAAAAGGTTTATTATAAAAAGTCTATTATTGTTTTAATAATAGTGATGGATATACCATTAAATAGACACTACCTGTGCTCTACAGTCTCTCACTTTATCGTTAATATATTTCCACACAAAACAGTGTTTTGTGAAATAATATTTCAATAAAATCTATTCATTAATATTATACGTGAAAAGTGAGAGAAATTCAAAAATTTAAGGGAAATTTTTTCACAAATATTTTCACTCAAACTATCGATTTGTGTTACGAGAGAGAGAGAGAGAGAGAGAGAGAGAGAGAACTGGAGAAGACTTAATACTTTCATAACTAGTTTTTGGTGTAAAATGACTTTTGTTGCAATTTTCTGTACTTAAAAAAGTTATAATACATTCAAAATCAAAGCAAAGCAAAAAACTTATAGTTATTTTATAAGTGAAATGAATTGTAAAATATGGGTCACATTCAGTACTCTCTCTCTCTCTCTCTCTCTCTCTCGACGGTATCATTAAATGAAGAAAAATCTTTGAAATATATAATATATTTTGAAGTTTTGTAAAACTTTTTTGTTTTATAAAGTAAATAAAAAACTTGAAGATTATTTTATACAAAATAGTAACATTTTTATGTCAATAGTTTTCAAGTCTATAAACTAATAATTATTAAATGTATACATTTTCATAATATTTTTGTTTTTAAGTAAAAACAAAACAATTTTATTTTTGTAAATTACTACGTGATAATTAAAAGTATTAAAAGTATTAAAAGTATAGGCATTAAATTATAATATTTTTATTACTCTCTATTAAATTACAGAATTTAGTATGTACTTGTTAAATTTAAAGCATATTAAAATTTTATTTTTGGATAAAATCCAAGTTCAAAAAATGATCACTTGCGTATTCATAATTATTATACAGTAATGAATTAAATCATTTAATATGTATGTGTTAAATTTAATATACTTGATAAAATAATGAACCTATAAAACTAATATTTATTTATCATTTGTCTAGTAGAAAATCAAGGTCTTTTTTAAAAATATGAAATAGTTAAATTATTTTTAAATAACCTATTTCTAGCTATACCGGTAATTGTAATATTTTACGAAAATTATTGTTTAACAATTTTTATGAAACACTACAATAAATTCCTTAGATTAATACAAATAGATTATCCTATTATACTTAATTAATTATTTGACTGTCCATTTTAATTCAATACTAAATTTATTCTCAATTATACATTATTTTCAAAATAGTTTTGTTTACTAGAATTTTTTTCATAACAAATTAATTGCAATTATGGTGATAATTTTGGGAAATATTAAACGTATTATACAGTACTTATCGAACATAAGAATTTGCTTATATATTAACATTATATGGATAATTATGAGTAGAAAAGTTTATAAAGTGTAAGTCATAATATAATGTTAAAATATACTAATTGTGGCCATTTGGATTGTTTTATTATTGGAAATTGTTAGTAATATCATATAGAAAATACTATAATATTATAATAATCAATATCCATTTGAAGAAATGATAATCTGGTAGTTAGCATATTCAAAAATTGTTTAAAGTATATCTAGTGTATTATACACGATAAGTACACAGTTTAAATCAAAACATTTATTAAGTACATTTAACATTTATATCTACGCATAACATGCATTTAATCGTCGCTCGGGGTCGTCGTCGTGGTTGGGGTTGGTTTGTGAGTGGGGGTGGCTTTGCCTTTCGGTTTCGGGGTAGGCGTCGATTTAGGGGTAGGAGTCGATTTAGATTTAGGGGCTAAGGTCGGGGTCGGGGTTGGTTCAGTGTTTGCCGACAATTTTCCCATTTTCTTGCACTCGGTCTCATTAACGCAGTCCAGGGTCTTATCATGCACAAAGTACCCATCCTGACACTCACAGCCTGGTTTCGCCTCCACATCCTCCACGCAGTTCACATCTCCGGTCTTTCTGTTCGAGCATTTGGTCGGACAGTTGGTCGCCTCCTCTTTCAATACCTGATTGACTTTGCACTTCGTTTTTGGTGCTGGCTCAGTCAAATATATTATAATCAGGGTATTAAATTGGAGTTTATGTCGCTAACTTACCAGCGTCTATTTGGACGACCACTAAGGTGACCAACATTACGGTTAAAATCATTATCAGTTTAGCCATTATTTATTTATTTGATAAAAACAATAATTGCAAAAAACATAAGGTTTTAGTTTTTAATAATTAAGTAGAATATATCAATGATATTACATATTACACGGTAGAGTATATACGGTATATGAATAAAGTGTAATTTATTTATATTTCTTAAACACATTTTAGGCATCTACAAAAATAAAAATACATAATTATATTTATTTATATTTATTAGTTAAAAATTTATTTAACTTTTTATAAATTTTAAACTCTATTGAATTAACAAATGAAGTCACGAATATAATTGAAATAAAAATTACTAATAAAAGCATGATAGTGTACAAATTGTATATATAACTGTTTAAACATTATTTTTCAAATTTTAAAAAGTTTTTAAATTTGTTTATTATTTCTATAAACAGATTATTGATTTATACAGAATTTTAACTTATGTTATGGTTATTTTAATAAAATCACTAAATATTTACTAAATTAAAATATATTCGTAATGATATCTCTAATATTGATCTTTTGAGAAACAAATAAAACAATTTTCAAAACAAATTATAAAATAATCCGTTTTTAAAAATATTTTCCAATTCACAAAAACTAATTTTAGATTAGGCAATGTTTAGTTAACTTTACAACACTCTCGGTATTAATACCAATATTTGGTGATGGGTTACAGAATCGGTGAATTAGTTTCTCATTTGTGTGGCCACCCAATGGTATAACAGATATCTCTTTAATAAATACAGATTTCTGACGACTATTTCCACTAAATATACTAAATATCCTTTGCGTTGATTTCAATCTCCACTTGAACTCAATGTACGAATCATTTACAGAAAATATTTTATCATTTGTTAGACTTAACACAGCATAATAGGTCTGTCCAGGGGTTATGTTAATGGCACTGGTATGTTAATGGAAGTAAAATAGATTTTAGAATTTGTATTAATCTTATGAAATAAAATTATTTAAATACCCGGTTGTGGTGTCAATAAAGTTGGTCTCAGATGGGAATCGGACCGACATTTTGCCGGAATAATGATTTTCACTATTAGTTTGCGATATGTTATTAACAGTAATCGTAAATTTATATTGAAATCCTGTAAATAATAATAACAATAGTTATAAATAAATTGTTTAATAAACACAAGAATATAAATTAATAAA